GCCCAAGCATAACACAGAGGCTTGAGACACGGAGGCGCGGGACGCGGAGCGGTGCGGTGGGAGGCGGCAGGACGGGGGGAGGGGTTACCTGCATCCTGCCAGCCGAACTCTGGAAGCCTGCCTGAATACCCGTATTTTCCGGCGTATAAGATGACTGGGCTTATAAGACGACCCCCGACTTTTGAGAAGATTTTCAGGGTTTAGAAAGTCGTCTTATACGCCGGAAAATACGGTATTTAATATTACTTTTATCAGAAAATGAGAAGAAGACTGGCTATTCCTGAATTTTTTTGAGTTTAGAGCATCTGTTGCTTCTAGGGATATAAACCCTCTTCTGAAACTAAATGGGGTACCATGTTTTGGAAAATGTTACTTACTTTGAGTAAAGGACAGAGTCCCAGAGCTGGCTGTTCTCTTCATTGCAGAAAAGCATGTGTACAGTACATATTAAACAAACTACGATAGTTAAAAATAACTACCGTGCCCTCTTGTGGACACAGCTGGATTGTCAAATAGGGCCCAAGAGCATTAAAAAAAAAAGGTCTGGTATTTCTGACCCACTCCCCAAAATATCATCCTTGCTGGAGGTACCCCTAAACAAGTGATTCAATTATAGCAAAGCTATACAGTTTGAATGTTTGAATGTTCTAATTATTTTTCTACTTTTTATCACCTATAGCTGCACAGAGTTGCCTCGCAGGCGAGGCGGGCGGCATACAAATTTAAATAAATAGGTAAAAATAAAATAAGTAAATGAGTGGTTCTAATCAGCTTTGGGGGGGGGGGGAAGAACAGTATTTTGAATTTCTGATAGCAATATTTTACATAGAGGTTCACGTAGATTGCCTCCTTGGAGGATTTCGGCTTGCAAACGTGCTAACCCTCATCAGGATCACAAAAGCAAAACAGGAACTGCATAGACAATTTAGACCGGTATTCTTCAACCTCGGCAACTTGAAGATGTGTGGACTTCAATTCCCAGAATTCCCCAGCCAGCCCAGGGCATCCTGGGAGTTGAAGGCCACAGATCTTCAAGTTGCCGAGGTTGAGAAATGCTGACTGTGAATCATTTCCTAGCTTATCTTTTACACCGTCGTGTTATGCTGGAGGTAAGCCCTTTTAATATTGCCTGGCCCTTAAGTATTAAGTTGATATTTAATGTTAATATTGCTCTAGTTGATTCCCTGGAAATGCCCACCGAACGGAGGGGCAATTAACTAAAGTTTCAAAGGGGTTTTTCACCCTAGCCAATTAACCTACAGCAATGGCTAAAAATGTACCATTAGCCCTTGGGGGAAAAAAAATGAGTTTAGGAAGGACAAATGTCTTCCAATTTTTGAAACTGGAACTGAAAGCCTTTGAACTGGAACAGGTGGATTTTGTGAAGTCCTCCGTAAAGGGGTTTGGCATAGGACAGTGATGGCGAACCTTTTAGAGACCGAGTGCCCAAACTGCAACCCAAAACCCACTTATGCATCGTCGAGTGCCGTGTGGGTGTGGCCCATTGGCTGGGTGTGGCCCATTGGGTGGGCGTGGCTGTGGTGGTAACGGCAGACTGGGCGGGACTAAAAAGTTCAATCAATCAATTCCAACTTTGCAAGATCTTTTTTTTCCCCGCGAGAAGTTGAAATTGACTGTTTGAAACTTTTTTTTTTTTTTGCACACGGTGGCGGAGGCCTAAAGCGAAAATGTTTTATAAAACCCAGCTGAAGGCCTAGGACTGGGACGACGGTGCGCGTGCCCACAGAGAGGGCTCTGCGTGCCGCCTCTGGCATCCGTGCCATAGGTTCGCCACCACTGGCATAGGACAACTCCAAGAAAACAGGGCGAGATCGGAAGATGCGGAGAGACCTGACCCACCATGAGTTGGACAGGACCTAATGGACAACCTTGTGATTGCCAAAAGAGTTGGGAGGTTCCTAAAGCAGCTTCGTAAGTCCTATGAAAACTTCTCAAGTGCTTCTAGGATGCCGGAGGCTGCAGAAGACATCAATGTCTCATGGAAAGCTAGGAAGGGCCAGCTTGGTTAAGGAGAGGCTGTAGATGTCCTCCAGAGGTGTTTCACAGAAGGTAGAATAATGGAAGGGACCTTGGAGGTCTTCTAGTCCAACACCCTGCTTGAGTAAGGAGACCCTAGACCAGGGGTAGGCAACCTTGGCTCTTTTATGACTCATGGATTTCAACCTCCAGAATTCCTGAGCCAGCCATGCTGAGGGGAAAGGGAGAGGTTTCCAAGCTGAGCCATGCTGGCTCAGGAATTCTGGGAGTTGAAGTCCACAAGTCATAAAAGAGCCAAGGTTGCCTACCCCTGGGCTAGACCATTTCAGACAAGTGATTGTCCAGTGTCTTCTTAAAAACCTCCAGGGATGGAGCGCCTACAATTTCTGAAGGCAAGCTATTCCATTGGTTGATTGCTCTTAGCGTTAGGAAATTTCTTAGTTCCAGGTTGCTTCTCTCTTTGATCGGTTTCCACCCATGGTTTCTTGTCCTGCCTTAGAAAATAGTTTGAACCCCCCTCATCTTTGTAGGAGCCCCTCAAATACTGGAACACTGCTATCATGTCACCCCTAGTCCTTCTTTTCGTTAGAGTAGACATACCCAATTCCTGTTCTTTGTATGTTTCAGCCTCCAACCCCCTAATCATCTTCGTTGCTCTTCTCTGCACTCTTTCCAGAGTCTTAACATTTTTTTGTTATATTGTGGTGACCAGAACTGGATGCAGTATTCCAAGTGTGGTCTTACTAAGGCTTTGTAAAGCGGTACTAGAACTTGATTCTAACCCTCTAATAACGCAGCCTAGGACTGTTTTGGCTGCTGCCGCACACNCTCCAACCCCCTAATCATCTTCGTTGCTCTTCTCTGCACTCTTTCCAGAGTCTTAACATTTTTTTGTTATATTGTGGTGACCAGAACTGGATGCAGTATTCCAAGTGTGGTCTTACTAAGGCTTTGTAAAGCGGTACTAGAACTTGATTCTAACCCTCTAATAACGCAGCCTAGGACTGTTTTGGCTGCTGCCGCACACTGTTGGCTCATATTTAAGTGATTGTCCACTAGGACTCCGAATCTCGCAGTCACTGGCATTAAGCCAAATTTCACCTACCACATTTCCCCGAAAATAAGCCCTAATATGATTTTTCAGGACGCTTCTAATATAAACCCCACCCCAAAAATAAGCCCCAGTTAAGATCACTAGCCAGACGGATGCACTTACTATCGTATTTGCCCATAATCTAGCCCTAATGCATCTTTTGGAGCAAACATTAAAATAAGACCCGATCTTATTTTGGGGGAAACCCAAATACAGTTGTCCCCCCCCCCCTGCACAGGATCAGTTGGGGCCAGGGAGAGAAGATCTTACCAGCCAGGAGCCCTTCATCATCAACCCCATCATGGCAGGGGATCTGCTGACCGCCACTGCGGACAAGGCGGTCAAGCCCACGCTCCCGGCGAAGTACGTGTAAGTGGAACGAATCCTGTCCTTGACGTACTGGGGCCAAATCCTGGAAAAGCAGAGAAAACACACGGAGGGTAAGTAAGCATCCCTCGACACAAACAGGGCAAGAACCTAGGCCCTTTTCTCGGATTACATGTTGGTCTTATTATACAGGGCGTCCTCAACTTAACGAGCACCGCTGAGCCCAAAGTTTCTGTTGCTAAACGAGAGAATTGTTAAGTCAGTTTTGCTCCATTTGACGACCTTTCTCGCCGCAGTTGTTAACAACACGGTTGTTGAGTGAATCTGGCCTCCCTCTTTGACTTTTCTCGTTAAAAGGCCGTGAAAGGCGATCACGTGACCCTGGGACACTACGACCGCCAATAAATATGAACCGCTTGCCAAGCGTCCAAGTTTCGATCACGTGACTGCATCATCATTTACAGGATGATGTCACAAAAGTCAAGGGAAGTCCATTTGGAATAAGAATATAGTCATTAAGTATCTTCCATTCATATGTCTAGGGAGATTCACAATCATCCAGGTCATGGTTGTCCCAAAAGTGTTTTTCAAAAGGCAACTGGACTTTCCTGTTTTTTCCCCCCCTTGAATGCGTGTCGCTTCTCCTCCACGAAGCTTCTTCCAATTCCTTCAGAAACTTCTTGGATGAGAAGTGACATGTCTTCAAGGAAAAACAAGAAAGTCCAGTTTTGAAAAGCACCTTTGGGACTTTCATTCATTTATCTCCTAAATCGAAACAAAAAAGGAAGCTTCAAACAAGCCAACATGCTAAACTCTTTATCGAGATTTATTTCTCCCCCCCCCAAAAGCTTTTCCAATCAGCAAACTCAGTTCTTGGCATGATGATTAAATCAATACACAGCTTTGTGAGGTGTTTTTCCCCCCTCTCCCGAAGTAATTTAGGCAAATCTTTAAAAAATATATTATTGCTAGATTCCGAATCGCAAATCACCTTCCACTACATTTCTCCAGCGTGTGCTCAGAGCTATCCATACATTGATTTTTACTGTAATTACTTTAATTGCGAGATGAACATGCCACGTTTTCTCCCTTGTGGACTTCTGGCCAGGATATAGCTATTAGGTCACTTAAACAGATCCATATCTCCTGGGGTTCTGGAAGGCCAAGTGCGCTGAGAGACGCTCCATCAAGGGTTCCTATTAGAAATAAACTGCTTACACGGCTTTTTCCAGCGCGCCGATTTCATTGGACATCCCCAGCCCGTAATAACAGAGGGCTCCGAGACCGACAGCAGCACCCCCAGCCACGATCCATCGTCCTGTCTGGTGAACTGAGAAAGAGCAAACAGCCATTAACTTGAAATAAGTTTTTCTCCTTAAGAAAGGATTGCACCAACACAATTCCTTAAAGGTTTCTGCTCAGGGCCCACTTTACAGGTAGCCCTTGACTTACTTAAAAGAAGGACTAGGGGGGACACGATAGCGGTATTCCAGTATTTGAGGGGCTGCCACAAAAAAGACCTTTGCTTAGTTCAGCTCTGAATTCTGCCCCAAGTCTAGTGTTTAATCTGTCATCAGATTGCATGCTTTGTTTGCAGTGTACGTCTTTTAATCAGAACTTAGATCAACTAGGGTGAAAAAAACATAGAACCCTACTGACTTATGCCTACCCAGATTCTGGCAAAGAGTTAATATCCCCACAGGTAGGTAGATAGATAGATAGATAGATAGATAGATAGATAGATAGATAGATAGATAGATAGATAGATAGAGATAGATGATAGATAGAGATAGATAGATAGAGATAGATAGATAAATAGATGATAGATAGAGATAGATAGATAGATAGATAGATAGAGATAGATAGATAGATAGAGATATAGAGATAGATAGATGATAGATAGAGATAGATAGATAGAGATAGATAGAGATAGATAGATAGATAGATAGAGCTAGATGATAGATAGATGGATACCTACTTTTAAAGGCTGTTTCCATCGATGGTTCAAAAGCTGCTTCTTTCACTTCTTCACCGACTTTTCTTTGGCGTATTCCTGTCCGAACCCTGGAGGCATATCCCTATGATTAAAAAAACAAACAAAAAAATCAGGGAAGGTGAATTCTAGAGATCTGAAGGAAACATAGATGATTGCTGCACCTCCCAGCCTCTGGAAGGAACACTGATCAGGTTAAGGATCCTTTTAGAGGGAGATATTCTGACCGGCATGCATGAGAAATCTCACTTGGTGGCACACACACACAAAAGGACAGATTCTGGAGGAATAAATCCTAAACTTTGAAACCAGCTGAGAGGCTTTGTCACCTGGCTGATCAGGGAAGTGAAATCGAGTGCCGTTTTCAGCCCTTGCAAACACATACAATCCCTTTTGAGCAGTGGTTCTCAACCTGTGGGCCGGGACCCCATTTGGGGTCGATCGACCATTTCACGGGGGTCGCCAAGCAAGGCTGTCCACCATTTTTTTTGTCCGCCATTTTTTTCCCTTTTCTGGCGGGTGCCTTACCTCCCTTGGGCTGGGCCAGCTGGTGGTCGGCCTGCTCCGTCTCTGCCGCTTGCCAGCTACGCCTCGGCTGGCGCAGGGGGCGGAACCACGCATGTGTGGCGCTCCCGGGCAGGGAAAGTCCTTGACTTACGACCGGTTGGGTAGTCCTTGACTTACGACCGGTTGGGTAGTCCTCAACTTACGACCGGTTTAGTCCTCGACTTACGACCGGTTTAGTCCTCGACTTACGACCGGTTGGGGTCGCGGCATTAAAAAGGTTGAGAACCACTGCTTTTGAGGAACTGACAAGGGTAAGCGCAAAGTCTCTGATGTGGCTGCGTAGGGCCACATTATCCAGATAATTGGGGCAACCAGAGTCCCACTCCCCCCCCCCGTCACAATCAGAAAGATAAGAGGTCTGCAGGGTCAGTCCTGTGCACACCTCTTTTTTTTCCCCCTTTCCCTTTGGTTTTTAGCTTCCAGCGTAGGGTTTCTGGCCATCTCTCTTCCAGGTTCTCTCCCGGGCCGAGCCTGCTTAGCTGTTTCAAGCTCAGCCCAGTTCCACAAGGTGCTGGCACCGAGGACCCGTGCGTGAAAGCAAAGGAAATAACAAAGGGAGGGCGAGATTCTGGAGAGACCTACCTGGTAAGGCTGCGTGAGCCACTGCTTGGTCTTCAGGGAGGAATTTCTCACGGCGGGCGAAATCTGAGCAACGGCAGAGCGCAGGCTGTGGCCGGAGAGAGCCCGAAGGCACACCATCCTTGCTACCAGCATGGCTGCGGGAATCAAGTCGACGACAAAAGCTGCCTGCAACAACAGGAAAGAAGGCAGTTACCACCCAGTGCCAGAAAAGCAGGAGAAAACTGAGCAAAGCAGAACGGCATAAAAACACAATTTCGACTGCAAGGAATCAAGAGGTCTGCAGTAGAGAGGATGATGATGTAAAACAGGGGTGTCCAACCTTGGCGCTTCAATTCCTGTGGACTTCACCTCCCAGAGTTGGATTCTGGGAGGGAAGTCCACAAGTCTTAATGGGCCCAAAGTTGGGCATCCTTGTTTTAAACATGGCTGGAGAATTTTGGAAGCTGAAGTCCACAGTTCTAGAAGTCCACAAGTCTTAATGTGCCCAAAGTTGGCCATCCTCGTTTTACGTGGCTGGAGAATTTTGGAAGTTGAAGTCCACAATTCTAGAAGTCCACAAGTCTTAAATGTGTCCAAAGTTGGCCATCCTTGTTTTACATGGCTGAAGAATTCTGGGAGTTGAAGTCCACAATTCTAGAAGTCCACAAGTCAGTGGCCAAGGTTGGACACCACCGCTATAAAAGAACCAGGACTGTACTGGAAAACTCTGGGATACTCAATTCCTGAAGACCTCATGCCCAGGACATAAATTTCCCGTAATATTGTTTTGCGGCTTCCTGTCGGAGGAATTCCGACTCGTCTCCCATCCAATTATAAATTAGATCCAATCCTAATTAGCTTTCCAAGACTGCCTACGGACGCATAAAAAGATGCCATCAAACTGGTTCTTAGAATATGAGACATATAATTGGGTACTGTTATATAAGTGGCTTAGGATTCTCTCACTGAGAAGTAATAACCGGTCCCCGATATAGTTTTAAATAAAATCCAGCTGGTAGGATATTAGCAGAACATGCATTTCACATTAAACTGAGAAAGTCAACAACCGTTTATAGATGCCCCAGTGCCTGCAACGTTGTTAGAATTACAACTTTTGAACAGAAAGAACAGAAAGATGAATGCCTCTTACAGATAAG